TTGCTCGCTAACTGTCTTTTATCTTGAATACCTCGCGTTTTTAACAGCTGGCAACCTTATTTTCGACCATTTTTCTCAGAAACTTATATCATCATATTAAGAAAAAAACCTTTAATTTGATTTAAAAAACATGCATATACGTAATTAGCAGCGGATTTTATTTAAAAAATAAGTTAACGAAATCTAAATTTTGTCAAAAATGAATTACTATTAATTGAATTAAAAATATTTGCGGCCACTTTTGACTGGCAACCTATTATCAATGTATTCTCCTAATTTTAAATGTATGTAAATGTAAATATGTTATGAACGTAGTGATCCTGCAGTGTGATATTAGGCTGTAATACCTTAGAACCAGAAGAGTGGAGTACCAGTCAACCAGCCATGGTAAACCCCACTTGATGCAATATCTAGTTGCGATAGAAATCCGGTAACTATGGGTGCGTATGCGACTATTTCAGTTGCGCTAGGGAATTATTAGATTAGGACGTAGAGAACCACTCTGATAGTGAAGCAGCTTTACAGATACTCAGTTCCGTGTAGGTTATTTCAAAATTTTTATGGGACTGTTCAGATATTCTGTCCCAGGTTTGAAGTCGAAACAGACTGGCAGTAACCTTAATACCAGCAAGGTTAATGACGAGAAGGAAAAAGAATTCTTTGAAATTGCATAGAGAGCAGAACCCATCAAAAATGGGTTTGAAATAAATATCTCGAATGGTGCAAAAAACCACCAGGACAAAAGACCAAAAGTCCACCAGACCAAAAAACAACCAAAAACTTTTGGTACAACCAAAAACTCATTGACTGGATAGAATGGATGAAGTGCTTTAAAAGACAAAAGAAAACCAAAATGGAACTACGCAAAGGTCGCATTGCCTCAGGTGAGTTTGTAATCTGTAATCTCAGGATATTTTACTGACATTTTAATGACATTTATATGTATACAATGCAGCCTATATAAAAAAATTGTATATTCGCCGGTGGGGATGTTTGTTATGTACATAACATACATAAATTTCAGAATATTGACTAAAATACATGGTGCTTCGTAACACTTCGTACATTGGACTTTACTCTCAAAATAAACGGAATTAAAATCTGAAAACCTCAGCTGAGCTGCAAGTCTAAAATATTACTCTGCTCTGTATCATTTCCTGTAAAACAGTAAGTCGATATATACAGTTATTTTTAATAGAACATTTTATTTATTATTGTATTTTTAGATTCTGGGTAAAGTTTTGAACAAGTTTTGTGTAAGCTACCATGTACTAAAAATTTATGTTTTTGGGTTTTTTATTTGCTTAAACAATTTTGAACACCAATAACTCATCATCTATTTACAAACACAATTTACATAACATGTAAAACAAAAATACGCATTTTACATGTTTTTATTTATGATGAACCTTTAACCTTTATCCGGAAAAGGTGTGTCAATTGGACACACTTATTGATATGTTACTGTATATTTCAACAATCAGAGTATATTACTACCTCAAAAATTAGGACTTTGTCGACTTTAAAGAAAACTTATTGGAGACAACACCTAAATATTTTGAACTAATCAAAATGAAATATAAAAAATAAAATTGTTTTTACTGACGTAACCGGACAGTGTCTGTCCGTCGGACACAATTAGCTTTTCGATGCAGATAAGCCACTGGTCATCAATATTTATCGACTGTCGGTCACGTGAAGTACTAAACAAGCTCTGACTAGTCTGACTAGTAGTTCAGTTGCATTTTTGCTAGCCAACGGTGCAGTTTACTTTGTTTTGTTTGATATTCTTCATATTTTTCTAATCCTGTAGTTTCGGGTAGGTTTCTTAATTTATTTTAATGGTGATTATTCTGTATAAAGAAATATCTTCACTTTTTAGTTTTCACATATTTACTAAATTATAAAGTAGTATATATGAGCAAAAGAAAGTTAAGTGTGATGGAGCTTGAAGATATAATTGAGAACTTGTCTGATTCTGATGATGACAAAATATTGCGTAGAGGATTTCCACGACGAATCTGAATCAGATGACGATCATTTGTCGGAAGCTAGTGAAGAGGAGGATGAACAAATCTCAGGGGAAAATCTATGTAAGTATTAAATAAAACGTAGATTAAGGCTAGTGTACTTTATGATAAAATTTCAGCCCTTGAAGAACACATCAGAAACAGTAAACCAGAAATTGATGTTGCTAAAGATACAACTGAGTGGTCATGACAATATTTTCCGACTGGACTTACACGAGTTCAAAATTTAGTAAAAGAACCACTACACAGAGTTCAACTTCCAACTGAAACACGCATTGAAGAACGAATAGACACATTTCGCTTATATTTGACTGAAAATATTGTGGATGACATTTTCTGTTACACTAATCTAGAGGCTCATATAGTACAGTGTATTGCAAAATAAACCATGGAAGTCCTGTGATAAAATTGAAATGTATACTTTCTTTGGTCTTCTGATTACCGCCAGGCATCTAAAATCAAACTATACAAGTTGTAAAACTTTGTGGAATTCAGTTGATGGACCACAGATTTTTTGAGCACTATGGGTATAGATCAGTTCAAACAGCTTTTGCGTTTTATTTGTTTCGACGACAAAACGACAAGATCCGAGAGACGTAAAAAAGATATAACTGTCTGCTATACGGGATATTTAGATTAAGTATTAGGAAATTTAAAAAAGCATTATTTGACAAGACTAAATATAACAATCGACGAGCAGTTGATTAATTATCGTGGAAGATGTCCGTTCAAATAATATATTCCCTTAAAACCCGACAAGTATGGAATGAAAATATGGTAGGCATGTGACTCAGAAACTTTTTATCCTTTAAATGCGATTCTATATCTCGGCAAAGAAGGTAACCAAGTAGCTACTGGCTTGGAACGTAAAGTGGCAGAATTACTGAACCAACAGGAACATAACTATTTTACGGACTCATATATGGCTTATAATGTGCTATCTAATGGTTAAACAATTGTTGGCACAGTTAGAAAAAATAAAAAGCTTATTCCTCCTGAGTTTCAACCATGTAAAAACAAGGAGCCACCGTCTACATTTGGTTTTACAAAAAAAGGTAACATTGGTATCATACGTGCCTAAGCCTCTGAAAAGTGCCATAGTGTTGTCAACAATGCATTACTTGAATGAGATTAAAGAGGAGATTGGATAAACCAGAGATGATTCTCAAGTATAATAAAACAAAAGATGGAGTTGACTCGCCCAACCATAGGTTAGATGTATGTTGTCTAGCATATTATGTTATTTGGATCAACCTACATGCAAACTTAACCATAAAAAGACACTAAAAATACGTCTATTCATAATTGAAACAGCACAACAACTTATGAAGCCCCATATTATCCGCAGATCAAAAGTAGGACTGTCTAAATCAACCAGATCCCTTATGGCGAAATTTGCAGGAGAAGCAACTATCAGTCAACACAGAAAAGAACATGTTACTTATGTTCATCAAAAAAATCAAGAACACAAAATCAAACTTGTAATAGTTGTAACAAGAACGTTTGCAATGAGCACAGCAGTGTAAAATGTGAGTGTATTAGTTGCCTAAGAAAGTAATAAAAGTCATATAATTGTAGATACTTTAGAACTATAGGTTAAGATTTGTATTATTTTTTATTTTTATAGACCGAGCACTCACTAATTATTAATTTATTAGCTAAAAATAAAAATTCAAAAGAATTGATACATATTTTATTAATTATAACATGAAATACTATAATATTGTTACCGTGTGTCCGACGGACACACTCTGTCCTACTACGTCAGAAAAAATAAGTATCCGGATAAGGGTTAAATAGAAAAAAGTATTGTCTGTGTGGTTCACATCACTCCTACTACTCAACGCTCCTCAATTTTTTCGAAGGAGAAGTTATAAAAAGGTTTTCGGGTGCTACAGCTCCCACAACAAAAAGACCTGAAAAGTCTAGTGTGAACTATCCGCTCCTTAAGCACCTAGGGGCTTTTTTGTCATGTCTACCTTTATTTCTGAGTATCATAATTGAAACTTTAATTAATTTAAAAATAACAAAGTTAATGGCGATCTAGGATTTTGCCGGACATAGTAGCAAGCTGTCAATATTTTAGACTTATAGACTAATTTCAGTTATGTGGAAGTATAAATATTCAGATTTCAAATCGGACTATTTTCAGAGATCAGTCAAATATGCGTTTTACGTGAAACAGCCTATATAACACTTTATCGTTTCATAAAATAGTAATCATCCACGCAAGATCAATGATAATAGAAGCGTAAATGATGTATTTTATGCAATATCAGTATATCATTTATACAGAAAACACAAACATTTTACTTAACACCTAAGAAATATTATTCCTGAGAACAAATTAGTCTTTGTTAGTATCATAAAATAAATCATTTTGTAAGTAAGCAGTAAATCTCAAATGTAAACGTGTTCATATCGATACATTCATTCCATGAACCAATTACTTGAATCTGAACCTGAAAGTATAATAATGGTTTTTAAATCATTTACAGCAGTACATGAGCACTCCTATAATCTAAAATTAATTTAATTCTATATACTTTACTTACTTTATCATTTAAAAATGTCATGTATAGGAGAGTACTTCCTGCTGAGACAAAAAGGCATATCTCATAGTTTATTAACATAGCAATACAATGTCATAGGTTTTAAAATATTGAGGTCTGTAGAGCAAAATTTAAAACCATGTTGACTGTCTGTGAAACAAATAAAGCTAAAAAATTTCATAGCCACAGATTTGATTTATTAGATTTGATATGCCCCTTTGCTTTTTGTTGCACTGAATTCTAAAAATGTGTATATAAGATACACTGGCGCTAGTTTACAATAGTTTTTCACAAAATAAATCAATTAGATCTACTATGAAGTCTAATTTGACAAAATGACAAGTCTATAGTATCAAAACTCTTCATAAATCTTCTGTATGATGTGAAGTAATGTCTTAAACACTATCCATTTACCTACCTGGAGGCATAGAGAGAGGCGGTGGCCTCATGAGGGGTCCTCCAATAAGCGTAGGTGGGCCAGGTATCATCTGGTGTCTCATGGGCGCCATGATAGGTCCTCCCATCGTCATACCGATTGGAGGACCTGTTACCCGAACGGGAAACCTTTGCATCATGGCCGCATGGTGGTTCATCGCATCAACATGTTTCTGTTGAGCTGCCGCCTGTTGCGCTGCAGACACTGCTATCGCCAACTAAAAAAAAAATAAATTTTCTCTTTAATTACCTTATGTAAAAGGATCTTGTTATACAAAGTATGTCCCAAAATTATCCGACATTGGTTAATGATTGGTTAATTCATTTTTTTATTTGTTACCAACTGAATTGTTATTTTTTAATTCATAGTTTAAGACAAGACGGATTCTCACCCGAGAGACTATGCTAGGCGAAGCATAGACGATAAGCTCCCATAGTTGATTGACGTATTCTTTTATAATAATATTTCAATTTCAATTCTCTTTGGTAGTCTTATCGTTACACATTGGCCCCACGTTAGGCACCAACTATTTTTTTGAAGAAAAAATAGTAAAAAAAGAAACTCAAGGATAAGGAATTAATAAAGAATTTAAGAAATTAAAATACAATTATTATTTAAATATAAATTAATAAAGATGTGACGTTTATAACGTTACAAGTTGTCTCGTTGTGTCATCACAATTTTATAATATAATGATTTTCATGTAATCTAAGGTTATTACTTAAAGAGTGACTGATTAGCCACTGTCAAAGCTAAAGGTATCTTTAAAGTGAAAATTCAATGTGTTTATAATTTTAGATAACCAGTGAACAAGGTGAATTCTGTATTCTCTATGACATACAATATGTAAAGTTATGCATGATGTGAGGTTGATTACTTGAAGGCTACACTAAAAATGCGATATTTTTGTTTATTATATTATTATATATTATTTTATTATTTATTATATTATTTGAATAAAATACCCCGTATTATAATTTTATTATCAACAAAACATACTGGTAAATATCATAAAACGCAAAATTGTATCTTACCTCTGATGCAGCAGTGCTGGAACTTGAAGCACCATCATCTGATTTGGACATATTTCTAGCATATTTTGGATTTCTAGCTCTCAACTCTTCTAGTGACGTATCCTCGGAAGGATGTATAATTTTACTAGTAGCACTAGATGTAGCTATCGTGGATGCTTTAACATCTGTACTATTACTACTACCCCCTGGGGTATTTGTTGTTGGAGGTGCACTTATTGTTGCAGCTAAAAAATAACTTATTTAGCAACACAAACATAGTCAGATTAAAGGAAAACATGATTAAGTGTTTGTAAAAAACTAACCTGATGATATGGGCTTAAAATCTGCTCCAACTACTGGGGTACCAGGTGCACCAGGTGATGAGGTAGGAATAGCGCTGGGGAACAGGGGCTTTGGAGGGCCACCTTGACCTTGCATCATTTGTTGCATATGGGGAGGCATCATTTGCATACTAAAATAATAAATCAACTATGAAATATTATTCTTTCACCATTATATTAGATTAAGATTAAGTAATAAATAATTTAGCACAATAATTTTACTTAACTGCAGTTATTCAAGTCTAAAAATAAAAATACATAGAAAAAAATATAAGGGAAGAAGTTATAATTACGATAAAAAATGTTCCACAATAAATCGATTGAAGGAGAAATAAACAAGGCAACATATATACAGGAAAATATACGAAGACAATTAACACCAATATGAACAAACATGTTGAATTAGAAAAAAAATAAATGTAAAAACTTGTGTAGCATTTTGCAGAATACATGATCTGAAGTGCCTATATTCCCAGATTGTTTTATATACCTGAATTTTGTGTGATTGTATTAAGGATTACTTAGTGATACAATTTTATTGAGTAGGTACAATACAGAAGTTTGTTTATGTAAATAGTTACATAGAAGAAATAACAGGTTGGCTGTTGTTGTTTTGACATTGTCAGTCAGCCTTTTTAAACCATTTTTATATTCTTTTGTGACTGAACGGGAAAACCATGTCATTATATTTGTCAGTTCTGTAACTATTCTAATGTATTTTAAAATCAATTTCTTCTTTACAATTTCTTGTTTAGTATGTTTATAATTTTACAAATGTTTGATTTGTCTACCTATATATCCAGTGGCGACTGGTGATAATTTTGTTCAGAATGCGCCGTTTCGAGAATACCACGATTACTTACCAAAAGCCTACTTCTTAAAATGAAACTCGATACTTTTGTTTTTATCAGGGATGAACTTTTCCATCAACTTTTCGTTGAAGTCGAAATATCATTAAAACTCCAACCAAAGTTTTTTTTTCGATGAACAATATGACAAGTGCTGTAAGTCTTTCCTGACATCGTATTCCTTAGAAACGTCTTGATCAATTTCAAAGTAAAGAAACATCTTTCAGTTTCTGCAGTTGTATTCGGCATCGTTATTAAAATAATCAAAACTTTAATTAATTCACAAAATTTTGATAAGTTGATATCAAAAAACAGCATCTTGAACTAGAGTAAGGAAAGTAACGAAAGTCAATTCCGTCAGTTAGTGTAGCAACATCTGTTGTATCGCCTGCCATTAGTGCAGGAAATGAAGACTGTTTTATTTCACTTTACATTTGCTTCCATAGGTAGATAGGTAGATACTCATCTATGATCTCAATAGATAACAGATCTACTACAGGAATGTGCCCCTGCAATATGCGAGATTTATCTCTTAAAACTTTACAGCGGAAATCATTGTCTTACCCCGAGACCATATTAAAACATATCATTACCCCCACCCCCCAGAATGGATCCTCAGTTCCTGGATGGATTTTTACCGATAACGACCCTAGATTGAGTAATATGGAAATGATTTTGATCAACGTGATACCCGACACTCGGAAAAAATCATGAAAAAACAATCCAACACAGCCTCGGGATTTGTAGGAAACAAGGATTTAAGATTTAAGGTGAATAAAAAGGACTATGAGAATAGGATCATGGAATATACAAGGAATCGCAACGAAACGAAATGAAATACTCCCAGAAATCGAAAGACTAGACAGATATATAATAGTTTTGAGTGAAAAAAAAAAATGATCAAGGAGAGGAAATTATAGGGAAATATACACAAAAAAGGAACGAATAAGATGTATTAGATTGGGCAAAAGGAAACGAAGATATTATTCTAATTGGGGATTTTACTAGCCACATAGTAAAGGGAGATGAGGATATAGTGGGACGATTCGGAGAAGACAAAATTAGAAACGACAATGGAAGTCAGCTAATTGAAATATGTCGAGAATACAAGTTGTTAATAACCAACACAAGATTTCAGCATAAAACATACATAGATACACATGGGACCAACCTAGTAGAAACTAAAGATCAACTATTGATTTAATAATTGTTAGAAACCAATCAATATAAGGTTGAATGTTCGAATAATTAAACTTTGAGGGTATACAAGGCAACTATCGAACACAGTGATTAATTTAATCTTGCCCAAGTACTTTCGATCAATAGATCATCTTCAGGGGCATTTCGTCAATTGTGGCCTATCCGACATAGTAGAATGTCATAAATGTAAAATTTGGACATAACAATACAAAATACAATACACTAAGACAAACAAACACTTTAAAATTTATATGGAGAAGCTACATATTGTATAGAAGCCGGAGACAGAATTCTGTCTCCGGCTTCTATACAATATGTAGCTTCTCCATATAAATTTTAAAGTGTTTGTTTGTCTTAGTGTATTGTATTTTGTATTGTTATGTCTATAAGACAGAATTCTGTCTCCGGCTTCTATACAATATGTAGCTTCTCCATATAAATTTTAAAGTGTTTGTTTGTCTTAGTGTATTGTATTTTGTATTGTTATGTCCAAATTTTACATTTATGACATTCTACTATGTCGGATAGGCCACAATTGACGAAATGCCCCTGAAGATGATGTATTGATCGAAAGTACTTGGGCAAGATTAATTGTTAGAAAAGCCAGCAACACAATAATACAAGAAGTAAGAGTATCCAGACAAGCAGAATGTGCAAGTAACCACCAATTAGTACTAGGGAAATTCATATACATAAGAAGACGACAAAAAGACAATATCCAAATAGATGAGGAGTTACAAAAAATGGCAAATAAAAGACATATAGCAGAACATCTATTATAACAATTTAGTATTCAAACACTATATCAGAATAGGCTACAGAATATGCTACAGATGAACAAAGAATGAACCCCAACAGAAATATATCAACACCTAAAGAAAAAAAAGTGGCAAATGAAGTGCTAGGTATTTAACAACGAGAATAAATACTACTTTTTGTAGATGACAAAGTCATTTTTGCACAAGACAGGGAGGATATGGAATATATGATAAGGAAATTAAATGAAGAATATGAGCTATGGGGACTCAAGATAAATATGTGTCAGACTGAATACTTATGTATTGGATCCGAGGTTGCAGATTTAAACCTAAATTTAGAAGAAGAGACTATTGAGGTTTGTAAGACTTTTAAGTATTTAGGGTCGATGATAAGCTGAGATGGTATTTGTATAAAAGATGTAAAAATGAAAATAGCGCGGGGAAACAAATACCACTCCATGAAAGTGGAGTGATATTGAACAACACTCTGACCAAAGAAAACAAAAAAAGGATCTTTCAGTCCATAATGACGAATATTACCCTATATCGAGCGGAAATATGACTAATGACATCAATCGAAATAACGAACAGTTGAACTGGACTTTATGAGAAGATGTCTACAAATTATCAGAACGGATAGAATAAGAACAAAGGAAATATGAAACAGAATGGAAGTGGAATGCTCAATTACAAAAAAGTTGGAAAACAGGGACCAGCAGTGGTACGGGCATGTACAAAGAATGCCAGAGCACAGGTGGCCGAAAAGAATATTGGTCTGGGACCCGCCGGAAAGAATATGAAAAGGAAGACCTGCTTTAAGATGAAAAACATACATAGGAAATGCTATGATAGATAGAGACCTCAGAGAAGATGATAGAGTGATGAGAAGAGAGATAGAGGGTAAGAATATGAGAAGGGAAAATATAGTGCTGTGGAGGATGAAAACGGGGAATAATTAATAGGAAAAGCGGAAGAAGAAGTTTGCTTCCTAGTTATCAGAAGCATATAATCTAAGAGCTCACTTTGTATAGTTTTTAAAATACCTCTAAATTCTTTTGCTTCTTTTAATAATTAGACAGTGTGAATTCTATTTATTTAATGTATCAACTAGTTCTAAAAATACACACTTATTCATCGACTCTTCAGACTTATTATGATCACGTAGTGCAAGGCCGCATTTGTCGCAAACTTCAAAATATCGATAATTTTTGAGAGGGCGTAACAGTTTTTGATACTATTTCATTGTACATACGAATGTTTTCAGCATACGCACTACTTGAAGCAGAAGCGATATACCAGAAGAAAATGATACCAACATTTGTATCATATTTTGTATTTTTAGAACGATTTTCGAAGTGAAAATAGAAACGTAAAAACTTAAAGTAAAATTGAGGCTTACTTGCAATAAAAATAGTAAACTACAAATATAATTAATGTAACATTTAGTTCAGTTCAGTTAATTGATTGATTAATATGAATTAGGTATAGTTTTTGTAATAATAATTGAAATAACAAAATGATATGGATTTTCACCAGAACTATTCTTTGACAAAATATTCGTAATGTAAAATACATCTTTTACTGTCAATCTATTTATAAGTTTTTTGTTTGCTAAGTTTGCAATGAAGCTTTACCAAAATTAATAATAACATTCGTGTCTCTTAATGTGTTTCACCTTTCACAGTCGGTAAATTATCTTTGATTTATGGATCCAAACTGTTGATTTTATATACTTACTGGAATACTCATGTGTGCCCTATCGACACAAAATATTTTCGCTATCAATGGTATATGAACTCATTTTAGTTGAAGTGTATATTCCTTTAGTAAATATATTCCCAAATGGAACTTAAAAGAATCAGCTTTATTTTTATGAAAAATGTATGAATAATTATTGTGAAACAACTTCTTCCTTCACCAAGTCGCTTTGCCAAAATCCTGAATATATAATTGGCTAATAAATTATAAAGTAGATGTTAGAATGTAGAATGAACAGTAGATGTAGAAGAGGGCAAACACTTTATTCTGATATATTTTATAAGAGCACTGGATTAAATATGTTTTAAATTATGTAAACAATAATAAATAAAAATTTGTCCTGTCTCCTTTTCATAGTAGTATTTGATATGAAATCTAAAGTGTCTTATGCTTATAATCGTAATCATATTTGGGTTTATATGGAATTGCTTCTGGCGTTGAGTCTGCAACTGTGGCAGAACAGACCATCACACAAGACAACTGACAAATTTTATTTGAAGAAACACCAAGGTACTTATATTAAAAGGTTATATTAAATTAAAAAACACCTGATTAATAGTAAGAGGA